TCCGATCTATCCTCCCCTCATAGCTCGGGGACCCCAGCAGCCAAAGTGGCCAGAAAAGCGCTTATTGTTGAGCAGAAGAAGCAAATCCACTGAGAAGAAAGGGAACCAGGTTTCCCACTGAGACAGGACTCAGGAGAGAGGAAAGGGAGGCCGGGAAGAACACAGGGGTGCCAGGCTAGAACCTGCGTGTTTGCACCACAGGGCCACGCGAAACCACGCACACACACTCCCTGTGCTCTGCCTGCCGAGGAGACATCAGCAAACACCATTCTCAGATCCTGATCTCTAAGCACCATCCTCCCCCGAAAGGAACCAGGGCTCCTGGGGCAGGCAGGGTGTGTAGGGCACCAGGACACCTCCTGTGCCAGCACGAATGCAACATGAAAGGAATAAGGGCAACGTTTCAAAAGGATATAGAAGCCAGCTCAAGGGAGCTTCCACCGACCCGATCTGGAAACAACAGGAGTGCTGACTACAAACCACTGAACATAACGGGGACCCACGAGTCCAGACCACTGTGAGGAAGGACGGAAGGGCGGGTGAGGGAGAAGGAAGGGCTCCTCTTCACAGCAGAAGGCAACTAATCAGCACGGAAGGTGCAGCAGAAACAGACGACCATCACTACACCTGTCCCGTGGGCGTCGTGAATGGCCAGAGGCGGGGTCTGGTGAGGGACTGAGGACCTGCACACTCCTGGGCACTCCTACTAAGTACCCACAATGCCAAGGGAGGGACGGTGACTGTGCAGTGGACAACTTAACCAGCTGATCAAGGCTGAGCCTGGGCTGTGAGAAGGCCAACACCGCAAGCCCCGCCATGGCGAGCTGTGCAGCAGCCCCCATGGAGACTGAGGCACTTCTGCCCAAATCAGGCAGGCCGAGGGGGGATCATCCACAACCTCAATGCCTCCAGAAAGGGAGATTTCGAAGGAGCTAACATGGCAGGCTCTCTGGATGTCACAGATGCCTGGACGAAGAGAAACACATGCTGCCAGGACACTTGCTGAAAGGTGACCGGGCCTGAGGACAGCCTAGTGGCAGTGTTGGCACCAAACTGCCTGACCGGGAGCGGTGTGCAGGCTGTGTGAGCACCGAGTCACAGGATACCACATCAGAAAAAGATGGTATAGAGTACACAAACACACCTACACAGGCGTGAGCACATGTGTGTACAGAGGGATGAATCAAATGCACTAAAATGTTTAGAACTGAGAAACTGAAACTAGTTCTTGGTATTATTCCTGCAAGTTTTCCATAGGCTTGAAACTACTTTCAATTAGAAGAAAAGCATTTTGAAAAAAGCTAATTGGCATACTCTGGGCAGACAGCAATGGGGAGAGCAGTCTTTTCATCTTCCCAAAGGCCCGTCTAAAACACACGCACAGCACCAGGACAGCAGAACCAAGAGCTGGAGGACGACACTCAGAACAACACGGGCCAGAAGGGCGTCGCGGAGCGGTGCGAGTCACATCAGGGAAAGGCTGCCGGGCCCAAAAACCCCCCAGGAGCCAGGCGCCTGATGCAGAGAGGCCACTTCCTCTGCGGGCAGCAGCTGGGCCTGGGGGGGTGAGGGTGCTCGCCGCTCAGCCACAGCCTAGCCCCTGGGAACTCTCCCCAGCCCCGCGAGGGCTCCCCATTGGCACGGGGGCTCCTGAGGAGGGCCTGCGAGGGCTGGAATCAGGTGCGGCAGGAGAGGGGCGACGCAGGCAAAGGAGAGGGGGACCGAAGAGCCGCGAAATCTCAAAAAGCGTATCGGCACGTTTTTATCACCACACAGAAACCACGCAAGAGGAGTCAGTGCAGCCAGCAAGTGCCTCACACCGCACCTCTCTCGACCGCTGAAGAAACTGAATCCACATAAAAGTGAGCGACAGAAGAGCATCAAGGCCAAATCCCACGCGCGCGAGAGCAGGAGGAGCGGCCGCGTTCCCAGACAGCGAGAAACACCAAAGGGCGGAGGCAAAGCGGGGCACCGCCACCCTGTTCCTTTTCAAGACAAGGGGGACATTACGAAAACGACTGATGACATCAAGGAACAACGTAAGCCAGGATTAGCCAACTAAGAAACGGGGTGACAAAGTGAAGAAAAATCACAAATCAAATAAAACCTTTTCTTGACAAAGTCAAGAAAAATTAGTAATAAAAGAAAAGCTCACTGGGGAAACAAATACTAAACTGAAAGTGAATACACACAGCTGGTGATGCCTGGAAAAGGTAAGACTGGGTGAAGAGCAAAAGCTTCTAGAAAGAAGGGTTCAGGAGGAAGTGAGAAACACTGGCAGCAGGTCGAGAAGACAGCACGTGATGACAAGAATCACTGAGGAGGAAAACAAACTTTAAAATCTCACTAAAGAAAATGTTCCTGAATAAGACAATATTTGAAACTGCATGTTGAGAGAGCACAGCATATACCTGGGAGCCACCCAGAATAACCAAGTCCTGGTTGGTTTATATTTAACCAAAAAACCAAGGAAAAGTAAAGGCTATAAAGAAAAGAACTCTTTGGGCATCTCTAGGCAAAAAGAACATGATACACAAGAGAAATAAAATCAGCTTATCATCATACTTTCATAGTCATACTTCAAGCCACAAAGAAATACACGTAGTGACACATTTACGACCCTCAAGGAAAGAAAATGCAAGTCAAGGATTTTATAGCTGTCAAAACTGACCTTCACATATAAAGGGCACAGAGTGCTGTCAACATGCAAGAACTTGGAAAAGGTTGTCCCATGAACCTTTCCAAAAGAATCTGGTAGAGAATGAGATTCAGAAAACCAAAACAACTAAGCAGACATCAACTCAACGACCAGTCATTAGTACTAGGTACACAGTTACTCCGGAACTAAGATTAAAAGAGGCCCCCCTGAGGGAAGGTTAAGAATACATAACAGCTATCTAATGCACTACTTCTGAGCCAAGCACAACATGCGTGCATGACATGACAGAACTCACGGGAGGCCAGCCTGCCTGGCAGCGAGACCCTGCTCACACTCCCGGCATCCAGCTGAGATGCCACAGGGTCTTCCCCGAAGGGCAAGGACCACACCCTAACAGGCCTAACACCAGCCTGGGCTGGGGGAGTCCTGCGGCCACTGGGCTTCTGGAACATGGTGGGCTTTCCACAGTCGCCTACTGACAGCAAAGTGAGAAACAAAGCGCACGGGTTGAAAGCAAGCGACCAACAGCTGAACCACCTGCCACAAGGATCACTCTCCAGAGGGAGAAGCCCAGTCTCTCAACACGGCACCGCGACATCCAGCAGTGGAGCAATGACGGCCAGGCATGAAAAGGAACAGGACAACATGACCCCTCGGTTCAGGAGAAAAAGCAGTCCATAGACAGAACTGGAGATGGCCCAGGTGCCGGTCTTGACAAAGACACAGAAGCAGCTTTTATAAACGGGTTCAGCAGGTGAGAGCAAACCTTGGTCTCAGCAAGTGGGCAGACAAGGAATCGCGGTGAAGAACTGGGAACCATAAAGAGGACGGAAATGAAAACCCTAAGACTGCAAAATACACCAACAAAGTACCCTCCTGGGCAGGTGTAACAGCTGACCACAGGGGACAGAACCCATGGTGTCAGGGAGCCTGGAGACGGGCCAGCAGTCTGAGGACAGAGAGAAGAAGATCTCAGGAAATAAACACAGTCTCAGACACCCACAGGGCAGCACAAAAAGGTCTAACAAACGGCAAATTGGGAGTCTCAGCTGAAAAAAGTTAAGACCGGAAAGGAAAAGAATTTTTGATGTAATAAAGGCCAAAATATCCCAGATTTGAGGAAAAACACTGACCTACTGATCTAGGATCCCAAAGAGGCTAAATATCAGGACAGCCAAGTCTAAACAGAACAGAGACCTACTTTTAAAAATTAAGATGATCATCCCAGAAAGCCAGAAAAGGAAGACATTTTACATGGAGGAAACAAGGATAAAAATTACCTAGGTGGGACCCCAGAAAACAATGGAACCACAGCTGTAAGGAGAAAAAGGGTCACACTCACAGCTGTTTACCAAGTTAAAAGAGTAAGTGTTTCATAATTCTGAAAAACACATTGGGAAACCACCTGTCTTTTTTTTGTGATCAGAAAAGGAATTTCGTTGGAAATATGAAAGAGTCCGACAATCAGAGGTTTCAAGGAATAGAGGAAAAAGTGTTAATGCTGGCTAATTCGGTTCACTGATCCCTTTTAGTCTGTCATCCTGAAAATGAAATGATATATATCTGCATTTCCTGGCTTATTCAAGAGTGTAAGAAAAATTAAACCTTAAATTTAAAAAAAAATTGAAAGAAATAAACTGTCAACCCGGAATTTTATATTCAGGGAAAATATCATTCAAAACTGAAGCAGAAATACAACTATTTTCAAGTAAACAAAAGCTGAGAATCCATTCCCAGCAGACTGCACCACAGAAAGTGCTGAACGCTGTCCTCTGAGCCACAGGCCCCAGGACCGTGCTGCTGACGGAGGCCGGGGCCTCAAGAAAGGCAAACAGGTAAACAGAAATGACCGGCTCCTCTTTCTTCCTGTAATTTTCATTAAAAAAACTGACAGTTTAAAGCAAAAATACCAATACTTTAAGGTTGGGTTTGTTTATAGCTCTACGGAAAGATAAGACAACAAACAAAACAAGAAACTAACAAAATCTAGACAAACATAAACAGTTATAACTCCCCTTCTTCATGCTAGGAATTTTCCACTGCCCTTTGGGCGGGCCTCACGTCCACTGCTCAGGAGGAACAGCTACTTCGACAGCCATTCTCCAACAGTTAGAATCTCAGATTCTTTCCAAAGTCTTCCTTACGGAGAGAACTTTTAGTTCATGTGATACCACAAAGCTGCTTTGAATCTGAAGGATCAAGCGTCAAGCAGATACCCCCAAGGGCATGGGTAGAGTCCGTGGGAAAGCCAGTTCTCCTACATGGGTCTGACCCCTGTGCCAGGGCTGAGAGAGGCCCCCCAAGTCCCTTCTGGCCTCGGTCCCCCATCACACTACTGCACCTCTGCTCCTGATCCCGGCCCCGGAGAGTCCACCTTCCTCTTCTTTCTGGGCCCGATCGCGGCGAGGGCTGTGAGGTTGGCATCACGTTGCCTCATTTGTGCCAGTTCTTGTTGCTGCATCTTTGTTTTGAAAAGGAAACAAGGACTGTAATTTCACGCACATGCTTTCTGCTTGTGTAACAGTAACAGAGACCCCAAAGAGTTTTCTGATATTTTCTAAATTAAAATTTCTTCAGTTTTGACTTTTTTCTTAAATAGTAAGCATATTCTACAATCAGAAAAATAATAAAGCAATAGATGTTCATTGCAAAAAGCTCAGAAAATATGAACAAAATTTTAAAGTATAGAGACTAAATTCATCCAATGAGAAATCACCATTACATTTAAAAGTAGGATGCAAACTGGTTGCCCTAGAAAACATCTCTGCAAACATTTTAAATAGCTACATAAATGCGTGTTGTATAGAAAAACCGTCACCTTAAGTTTTCTCTCTTTTGTTGGACGTTTGAGTTGAATATGGACTTATTTTCAAGTGCAGAGTAAAGACACTATGACTGAACAGCTCACCTCTTTTGCCTTTTGTTTCAACCTTAATTGTTCTGGATCTTCTTGTCTGGATCGAGACTATTTTTCAAAGAAGTAAAAGATAAAAATAAGTTATCACCTAAATTTCTATCATCTAAACAAATGTTAGATCCATGATATGATATAATAACATCAAGGTCATATGACACAATGCGTGTTAAATTTTAAAAATTCGTATTTACAGCCAAAAGATTAAAATTTAGCTTGCACCTCATGGAAAAAAACAAACATTATTCTTAAGAAACATCCATCCTATCTGGATAAAAAAACTAATAAGATGTGGTCTTTGACACGTCTACCAGCGCAAGCATCTGCTCTGGTCCCAGGACAAGGCTGCAGGGCTCCAGGCTCAGTCCAGGGGCTGCCCGAGGGCTCCCCAGCCGCTCAGCTCCTAACCATGTGCATCCCGTCCCCCTCGAGGCTGGCCACGCACACCGCCCTGGCCTCTCAGAAACCCCAAGCGCGCCGTGAGTCCCGGGACAGACAGATGGGAACCGCAAGCACTTGCCTTTGCTGCTCGCATTAAGATTTCTCTTTCCTGCTCATCTTTCCTCTGCTTTTCTATTTGATCAAGCTGTTCAAAAAATTTGAGCTGAGCCCGGACATCACTTGCCTGCTCGTATCTGTCGTCATCCTACAGAAAAGGTAGAATTAGCATCTGTCATAAACTTGGGAACCCAGCTCGACAGCCCGCATAGCACCCCCCTTGCCCTCGGCCGGCTCCTCGTCCTGCCACGCAGAGCCAAGCCCTCTCACCTGCAGACCATTCTGTATCTGAAGTGCTCGCACATTAACACACAGAGAAAGAAGTCTCAGGTGAGTTACCTTGGGGCTCACGGGGAAGTTTACATTTTACACACTCTGGTATTGCTTGACTTTTTAAGTAACATCTAATTTTTTTTTATAGCAACATAGCTATTTTCAAAGCAAAATGGCCACATGCTTTTATCTTAACCGCTGCTCTGAAGCCATCGCCTGGCAAGCAGGGCCCACTACCAGCTGCTGCGCAGCCCTCACGACTCGCGGCGGAGACAGGTCCTGCTCCGAAGGCAGGTTCTGCTGCAGGCGGCCTGCACTCTGGTTTGGGTGACTCTCCACAGAGCAAAACAGGGCAGCGCTCTGAGTCACAGGAGCATGAGTGGCCGGGGTCCCCTGGGCCTGCAGGCTCAGCGAGGGCCACAGTGTTGGGGACCGGAGGGTGCAATGCAGCAGAAAACTCCGTGGCCCCTGAGCTGGAGCAAGGCCTTCGCCTCAGACCAGCCAAGCTGACCCCCCAGTGCACCCCACACGGGCCCCGGGGCAGAGCACCCAACACCGTGAGGCAGAAAGAGGTGGGTCTTCGATGGGATGTCACCTCACACCACTTAGAATGGCCACTGTCCAAAAGGTAAGAAACAACAAGTGCTGGCAAGGATTCGGAGAAAAGGGAGCCCTCCTACACTGCTGGTGGGAATGCACATCGGTGTGACCACTGTGGAAAGCAGTATGGAGGTTTCTCAAAAAACTAAAAGTAAAGATATCATTCAATCAAGTAATTCCACTCCTAAGAAGTTATCTAAAGAAAACAAATCCCTGATCCGAAAAGATATGTGCACCCCTGTTTATTGCTGCATTATTTACAATAGCCAAGATACAGAAGCAACCAAAGTGTCTGTCAATAGATGAACAGATAAAGATGTGGTACATTTACACAATGGAATATTATTCAGCCGTTAAAAGAAAATAAATCCTGCCATGTGCAGCACATGGATGGATCTAGAGGATGTTATGTCCAGTGAAATAAGCCAGGCAGAGAAAGACAAATACCATAAGATTCCACTTATTTGTGGAGTATAACAACCAAGCAAAACAGCGAGTAGACGCACAGACACTGAGAAGTGACTGGTGGTCACCGAGCAGGGACGGATAAAGAACACAAAAACTTGGAATCGCAATAGAAGTTGATGACAGGGACTGTTGAACCACTGTGATGTACATTTGGAACCAACATAAGATTGTATATTAATGATACTTTAAAAAAAAAAAGTTTCCGGCATGAAGGTAAAAGGTATTGAGTTCTTATCCCAGCTCTGCCATTCGAAAAGCTGTTACTTTGAGCAATTCCCTTGACTGCTTTCTCATTTATAAAATGGAAATGACAAAATTTTAAATGAACTTAACTATATACAGTTAAAAAAAAATGTGGGTCTTCACAAATTTACTTCTGCAGAAAATTCAGAACAAGTTCACCCAACAGTCGCTGCCCTGTGCGTGGTGTGGGAAGGAGGCTTCCAGGCAGCGCCAGGCCGGGAACCCGCAGCAGGAGGCCTGCTCAGGAGAGCAGCGCATTACCTTGTAAGAGAAGTTCTTCTGCTGAGCTGTTTCTGATATTTTCTCTACAAGGTTCTGTAGCCTCTGTTGCGTGGCATGGGACACATAACTCACTACATCCGGATGGAGCTCCGTTATGCCGTGTTTTTTACCTGCAGGAGAGACAATATTTGACAATCACTTAACCTCTTTCTTTCCTCATCACATCACCATTTTTCTCTTTGCCACCAATTATTGCTTTATGCAACCTAAGGGCAGCCCACAGAGGCCCGTGGGCTGGCAGAAGGTGGCCGATACCCCTCAAGCACCTGAGAACCAGCGCCGTAATCCTGTGGGAGGACGACACGGCATATGCCATGACAGGGCACAAGCCACATTCGCCGGGAGCCACGCGCTCGGGGCAACACTGCAGGGCACCCCAAGCCTGCCAGCAGCCCCTGACGGCCCAGGAACAGCAGGGAACACAACCTACCTATTTCTAGTATTCTTCTCTGCAAAGGCGCTGGGAGGAGGAAGGTTTCATCTTTACAGGACCGTGTCAGGGTGCCCACCAACTCAGAGTTTGTGGCTAATATTCTCGCACTTTCTTCTGACAGGTTTACCCCCGCCATCGAGGCGACATCATTAATGTCATCGTCGTCCCTTTGTGAAAGAACAGAACCTCTGACTGCAAGAGGAACGTACAGGAGGCGTTCAGGGTCCTGCCTTGGGGGCGGAAAGCACAGCTGAGGTCTGCAGCGGGCATGTGCCCCACCAGCCCCCTCTGCACAGGCTCCGCACTCAGCGAGGAAGCCAGCGGTCTCCTCTCCAAGCGACTGCTCTTTCAAAGGAAGAATGTGCGGAGCTAAGCCCAGCGTGAGTCTCTGCACACGGAGGTCAACGCTAAGTTCAGAGGGAGCAAAACCCAACCACACTCTACTTGCTGCTCCAAGGAGGCATTCCAAGTGAAACCTTTTCTAAAAAATCAGAGCATGATTCATTTTTAAAACAATCGCAAACTCTCAGAAAAGCTGGAGTGCAGTATAAAGAACCTCCGTCTCCCTGCCCACCCCACCCCTCACCATGCGCCCTGCAGACATGCATCCTGGGCAGCACCAGGGGTCACAGCCGTGCCCAGGCCCCCCTGAGTCTGGCTGCCCATCCCAACAGTGTCCAGCTCAGCACCCCCCCCCGCTGCGACCCTGACTCCCCGGCCTCTCCCTGACACTGAGAGGCCACAGGCCCACTGGTTCGCAGTGCGTCCTCGTGTCCATCCGGCTGACGTCCCTCATGAGAAGTTGTGACACATGTCTCAGCAGGAACTTCACCCAAGTCCTGCAGCCTTGCTCGCTGCCACCCACAGGGCCTGGGTCTCGTTGGTCCCTGAGTGACGTGCACCCCAAGCCTGGCCTCAGATCCCTGCCTGGCTTCCCCACCATCAGGGCACCTTCAGTGGACACAGCAAGGGTTTCCCACCTGTGGTCATTGAAATCATCTCCCACACAGAGGCCACCAGCCTGCATGACCGTGTCTAGCCCTAAGCAGCCCACAGGGTCCATGCCAGTTTCCTCTGTGTATTTCTCACTCCTTCCCCGACAGGAGGACCCTGGGCCCCCAGCAGCCTTCCTCCACTTTTCTCATCTACAGAGGACTTATCTCCTACGTCCAGCCCTCTCCTGCCCCTCTCCCATGTAGACGCCCTTCCCACCCCACCAGGTGCTGGCTCTCTCTCCGTACCAGGTGATCCAGGCACACCACCCTCCCCACCCTGCTTGGGCACTGACCCTGGCTTGGTGACGACAGCCCTGCTCCACCCAAAGGGACGGCTTTAGGGACCGAGTGTGCCAGAGGGAAGGTCCCATGACAGCCTCCTGAGCTTGCGCCCCACCCACTGCCTGATGGCAGTCGCGATCAGTGACACACACCCCCACACACAACCCCTCACCCACACGGCACTCAGCCTGGCCGCCCACCAGGAGCCCAAAGTGCGGCATTTCTCAACATCTGAGGCAGAAACAAGGGTGAGCCACACTGCCTCCGTCAGGCCGTGCTGCACCTACACCACCGTGATGCTGCCCACCGACCCCGTTAGTCCACACACAGCGTCGGAGGCCCACCATCCTGCAGCTGTGGCAAACCACGCTGGCCTACCTCTGGGGGAAGACGCGCACAAGACGGTCAAAGCTAAGCGTGGGGTGAACACAGGCAGGCCTGGCCAGGGGACAGAGCCTAGCACTGCTGCCCCCTCCGCAGCCCCACCGCTCCACATGGGCCTTACCGAAAAGAGCCTCCCCCCTGCTCCTTGAGCTTGTTCTTCTGCACAGCAGCTGCTTGGGCCGAGATGGCAGAAAGGGCTTTGGTTCCAGGTAGTGCAGCGGGCTTCACCACGGGGACTGCAGGACGAGAGAGGGACATACGCGCCTTGAACGGGGCCGTGCTGAGGCCCCAGGCCATGCTAGAGGGGCCACCTGCTCTGCGGTTTGATGGCCGCGGAAGGACTGTCCCCCCTCACCCGCTCTGGTGGAGGCCATACAAGCTGGACTGCTAACCCTAAGTCACACAGAAAGACACCCGGAAATCACACTGATGGGGCCCAGGCCCCACAGCACCGTGAACGCGATCAGTGCCGCTGACCCTACACTTAAAGTGGTTAAAATGGTCAGCTTCGTGATGTGCATTTCTCCACATAAAAAGAAAATGGGAGACAGGACAGTGCGGAGAGCGGCCCTGGGACCCACAGGCGTGCAGCCCTCACCTGGCTGCAGCTGGTTCAGCTGAATCTGCTGCGGCGCGGTGAGCACGATGCGGCTGTGAGGCTGCCGCAGGGCGACCATGGGCGTCTGCGTCAACGTCACCTGCGGGGGGCGGATCAGCGCCCCTGGCTTGGGCGGCTGCTGGATCACCTGAGGCAGAGCACACAGACGTGTCGGCCCGGCGAGGCCACTGGCCAGGGCGGGGTCACAGCCCAGCCAGTACGGAGGGCCGACAGGGTCTGAGGTCCGGTGCTGAGCTCCGGGTCCAGAGCAGAATGTGAACAGTGCTGACAACGGTGGCCTGGAGCTACAGGTCATTTTTTTCTTCCTCCAAACTGTCTCTAAGAAGCTAGGGGGAAGAGGGATTGACTTCTTGAGTTCTGCCCTGAACTTGGCCCTCTAAGAAGGGCCACTCCTGTCCCCAGGCATAGCCCACCTGCACTCTCCACCCCCAGCCTGAGCCCTGAGGCCGAGCTCTGGGGAGCGCCCCTGGGGCGGAGTCTGCCCCCCATGTTCCTGCTGGTGGCCTGCTCTTTGGCTCCTGCCAGCTGGACCACACTCACCCCCCCGCCTCTGCTCACAGCGCTACCGGCCTTCCTTCACTGCCGGCCTCCTCCTGGAGTCCAGCCCAGCTCTCCCACCTGGGACGACAGCTGACAGTGGGGCTCCCTGTGCTAGGGGCCCAGAGACACCAAGATCCCTCTGAAGCCACACAGCTACCGTCACACTGCCTCCCCGAGAGCCTCTGAGGCCAGATGCTTCTGACTTTTGCGAAGGAGACCTGGTGGGCACAGCTGACATCATGGGACGCTCAAGGGGGTGGGTAGTGCCCAGTGCGCCAACTCTCTCTGCAACAAAACCAGTGGGACCCGCACTGCCCTGGAGGCGTGAGGGCCGGACTGGCCCCAGGCGGCTCCCTGGGGAGAAGCCTCTGTCTGTGTCTCCACAGGGTTCCGGAAGGCAGGGAGAGGCTCGGACTACGATGGGACTCATGCCGCTGCCTACACTTGTGCGCACAGCAAGCCCGAGAGGAGCCAGGAAGCAGGACGCCGACATGGCCCTGCCAGTCGAGACAGCCTTGTCCATAAACCAAAGGACACTTATGATGAAACGGCCATGCTCCCAGGCCCCAGCTTCCAGAAAAACTGACTACCCATCAAGTTCCTCAAGAGCTCTCCTTTTGTGGGTATCAGTCCAGTGACCATGGTACGGGCCGCTTCTGAACTCACATCGTGCGTGTCACAGCAGGGCTCGGCACTGACCCCAGCCCCGCGAACGCAGGCACGCGGACTCTCTCCCGGCCGCCAGCCTGCTTCACTCACCACCATCCAGGCAAACGCCGAGCAGACCTTGACCGTGGAGGGCACGCTCCAACAGGCTCTGATCTGCCCCGGTTAATGTCTGAGAGCCCACATAAAATACACTCCACAACTACTGCGCGACAAGGGAAACTGCACTGTTTCACTTACGTTTCAACTGCCTTTAAGGCAACAAAATCCCTTTGAAACTAGAAAAAGGCCACCTGCCTCTGCACTTTGCAAACCCAACCTGCCTATAGGAGCACATCCGAGATGTGCTCTTCCAGCTGTGGGGCTCGGACAAGTGTGCCCAGTCGCATAGGAGCGAACACTCAGCAGCCTGCAGCGCTCTCCGAGAAGTCGCCACGGCCCCACCGCGGCTGCAGAGCTGCGTCTGCACCTGACCCCTGGCCTAGCGCGCCAACACCAAGTACATGCCTGAGCCGTATCTGCTGTGTTGCTCCTGTCAAGCATGACACCAGCTGAAAGATCCACTACAAGCACAGCACGCTCAGCAAGCCAGGAATATCCCCAAACCACACGGGCAGCTGATGCGCTGCTGGGCAGGAGCACACGCGCTTGCTGCACCCGGAAGTGAGCCCAGGCCACGGCGGGCACTCTAGGCCTGGAGGGGACACCCACGCCGCCTCCTGCGGAGCTTCCCTGCCTGCCTGCACGAGTCTCCGGGCCGCAGCAGTTTACTGAAGAGGCGGGCAGGCGGGCAATGGAGTGACGGCGGACCCTGGCCTCCGTACCAGCGGCGTGGGCTGCCCCTGCTTGCCAACGCCAACCTGTGCAGGCTGTGCCAGGCTAATGACAGGGGGCTGCAGAGCACTGGTCACGGTGGCTGCCGTCTTCCCCGCGGCGCGCTGGACCGAGCTGCTCAGCACCACGGCTGTGAGTGCAGTGGTGGCCTGGGAGGCGGGTGGTGGCTGCTGCTGGCTCTGGTGGATGAAGGCTGCCGAGTCAGGGGTCAGCTGTCTCAAGGCGGGCAAGCTCCTCTGGGCAGAAAGACAGACACGGGGTCGGCAGGTGGCACCAGCTCTTTCTTACCAGGCTGCTTTCTTACGAGCTCAGAAACACCCATCTCTAAGAAGTTCCCAGCTAACCAGCACACGTGTTGGAGCCCTGAGGAGACACGGCTGGATGCCGGGGTCAACACCCCACACCCACTGAGCCTCCACTGTCACTGAGCAGAATCATTCCCAGTAAGAACTAGCCAAACTTGCCTAAAAACACATAACAGAAGAGCAGCCTTCCTGACGTGCTCTTCAGAACGTCATGGCAGCAGAAGCTACCAAACAGGTGATGTGACACTGCTGAACCCTGGATCCTAACTGGGTGGGCGCCCTGCCAGCCTTTACCCTCACCCTCTGTTTAGAGGGTGCAGGCCCTCTGCAGCCCCTCTGGTGCCACACAGCACAACAAAACAGATCTACAGTGTCAGTGGTCCCGTAACTTACAGAAAAGCCTCTAAGGGAAGACTTCACATTGTCACAGGCACTGTAAGCCTGCGAATGCAGTGGCCCCTGTGAAGCTCCCTCCCCTGGAACATACCCGCCGCCTACTGCCACCTGCAGGTGCCCAGTGCTGGGCAGGGGTCTTTAACGTTACCTTCAGGAAAGGCACAAGGTAAGGTTGAGGTGAAGAATTAAGTTCTCGGTATAATCTACTGGTGAAATCCTCTGCCTCGATTTTTCCATCCTTAAAAAGAGAATTCACATTGAAATCCCTGCGCATGTAGAGTTAACACCCAGCTCTGGTCTCGTGTCTTAGAGCAGCTGTCCCTGCTGCCAGGCCCGTGGTGGACCGTGGCAGCCCCAGGGCACTACCTGCTCCCCCTGGCCCTGCGGCTCCTACTCGCACAGCCCTGTGGAGTGAGGCTGGGGCTCCGTCTCTGGCTGGGTGGCTTATGGTCTACATCTCATCTCCTATCTCCTTCACGAGTTTCCTTCTTGATTCCAGCTCCCACTCAACTTTGATCAAGCACCTACCATGTGTCAGGCATTTTGCAACAAGACAAACCAGCCTAAAAGAAACTCATTATCAAACTCAGAGCTGCAAACACAGGTGCCACAGGTAGGGCGGACCACAAAAAGCTGACGCTCTACTGAAACCTCCAAGCCCCCAGGTGGCCCAGGGCAGGGAAGTGTCGTGTCCCATGCAGAGGGAAGCGAGTCCAGACAACTGGGGCACAAGTTTGTTCTGGAAACCAAATCCAGTTTGGGGTGAGGGCAGTGAGGTAAGAGAGGTGGGCAGGAACAGGGCAGCCTTGAGATGGGCATCTGGGAGGGGACAGCACCCTTCCAGCCTCACCTGCTGACACCCAGGAATCCTACCGAAGAAGAACAAGCCTCTGTCCCCACCGTGCCCTCTCATCGGGATCACCTATCACCAGCAGCTAAGCCCAGTGCTAATGCCCATGCAGGGAAGGGGCAGCCAGCAGAGGCCAGGGCTCTCAGGGCTCAGTCAGAAGGGTGGGATGGGGGTCACCATGGGATAGTCTGGCTTGAGGGGTGAGACAATTTCTCAGTTTCTAAGTTTCCTGAAGACATTAAAGAGCACGGTCTGCTGCAATCATCTGCTTGCCAGAGTTTGGCTTCTGGACTAAAACCACCATGTCCGCACATGTGGCACAGAGCCAGCGCTCGGTGGAGAAGCTGTCATCTTGGAGCATGGCTCTCCCTCGCCTGCCACTCAGCACGTGGAAGCCTCCCTCTGCCCCCCACTCTGGGCAGGCTGTGCTCGGAAGCAGAGAGCCTGACCCCACGAACCCCACCAGTACAAAGACAGCAATGTCCAAAAGCCCCAATATTAAACCACCAGGTTTCCTCAACAAAGAAATCGAAAGGAAACGAGAAAGAGCAAGAAGGAAAGGAACCCCAGGGTAAGAAACGGAGTCAACTGCACACTGGACAGGCCGTCTGCGTCCCAACGGGAACACGGAACCACACGGGGGGCAGCCAGGGACTCGAGCACTGCCCACGCCTTGAGGCTGACCGTGGTGTGGCAGTCATGTTCCTAAGAGCGCCCCCACCGTTTCGCAATCTGTGCTGCTGTGATGACAGGATTGGGGCCTGGGGTATGCGTGGCAAGGGTGGGGTGCACAGACACAAAACGGGCATGGACTGGTCACCGGAGCCTGGAGATGGGCACACAGGAGCTCACCACACATGCTTCCCACTTGTACACGGGTTTAAAGTCTCCATAAAAAAAGCCAAGACAGATAGAAGAGAGGAAAAGCCTTTAAATTACCCTCTATCAGGTGTACTTAGCAATGGCTCCTGTGAGGCCAGTGTGCCATTTTCCAGGGGTGAACAGATGGCATGAAAGAGGAGATTTCAAAACACCTTGGCACACTGGGACACCCCCTTCCTGCACCGGCTCTGGGGAGCATGACTGGTCAGCACACAGGATGAAGAGAGGCCCGGGCCGCAGCCTCCACCCCGGGACTGCACAGTCCCCAGAGCACCTGGACTTGGGGCCCAGTATCCGCCACGCACACTTCAGGGCTGGGGCCCTGGGACGTCTCTTACCAGCAGATTCTGCACTAGCTCTTTCACATTAGCAGCTGTCTCTGTAGACTGTTTTCCAGATGAAGCCAGTTTTATTAACGTAGAGAGAAAATTTTTACATTTCTTCACGTTTTCCATAGTTTCCTGGATTCAAATTAAAAAGAGGTAAATAAAAAGGTCTTAGAAGGCAGGTTTTCATCCCGACTTTTGGGTTAACTGAGGTGTGTGTGTATTTCTTCTCCAACCCTCTTTTAAGAAAATGCAGAGTCCCTTACGGCTCACTGACAGGAGTGTCACTGGGACATGTGATCAGAAGGACCGTCTGAATGCAAAGCGGGAGGTGCCCTGGAGTGCACCCACTCAGCCCAGCAACTCTACTTTCAGGAATGTGACTAAAAGTGACCATAAATGTAAAAGGAACAAATCTTTACCATGTTCACCAGAATGTTTCTTATCATAAATTGGTATCTACATAAATGTACAATAAAAGGAATTAAATTATGAAGATGAGGGAAAATACTTAGCAAAGAAACATGAAAAAAGTTAAGTCACACATGAAGCATGACCCCATTGGCTTAAAGATTCGCACGTGTGATAAAGCTTCGAGCAGGACGCACGGTGGACAGCACTGCTGCTCCGCACATGGCGGCATCTGTCCGGCTCACACTGCGCTTCTTCTGGGGCAAAGGCTGGACTTGCAGCACCGCCGGTTCCCAATGGGCCCCTGCCTGCCACCCCATACAGGCCGCCACCCTCAGACCCCCCCCACAGAGGCCACAGCAGACCCCAATGCAATGGCATGTCTGCAGCCAGAGCTGCCCATGCCGGCCAGCACTCTGGGGCCAGGAAGGACACACCAGACGCAAAAGGCTCCCAGGGGCCCGGGAGGAAAGGGAGGCAACGGCCTGCAGGCAGATGCTGGCCAGGGCGCCTCAGGGCATGCTTTCTGACCACGGTGTGGTAGCCTGGGCTGCCCAGAAAGGTCCTGGGGGCAAAGCAGGGCAGCACTCACCGTGGCCGCTGTGGAGGTGGTGGCCCCTGGGACTGTTCGCTGAGGTGCCCCCGTCTGAACAGCCGTCGCCGTCCCGAGGGAGGTCTGGGCAGCACCACCCAAAACAAGCTGAGGCTATGAGAATCCAAAACACCAGGTAAAGAGAGGCTGTGTGAGGACGCCTTCGTGCCCCGCCAAAGGAGATGAGGCTCCCTGCAGCAGGGTGCCCAATGGACAAGTGCAAGCTGATGGCCCAGGCACCTGAGGATGCGGTATTTTGCTCCTGCGGCATAAACTGAGAATAATGAAGCCAGTCGCTGGGAAAAAACCTGGTTGTCAGAGTCGATCTTAAAGGTCACATGGTGGCATGGTGGCCAGTATACTACCTTTTAGTGACCAGCCCAGAGCTGGTCATTCTCAGAAATGAAACAGGACAGAGGAACGACAACTAAAGGCCTTGTCGTCTGATTAGCACGGGAGGCCAGTGACATGGGAGGCCGGGCTTCCTGGTCAGGCCTCCCGTCGGGGCAGCTTCCCTGGCCCCCCGCTCCAGCCAGACCAGTCTCTTTGCTCTCCAAAAGTGAGTCTTATCATAAAAGGGGAGTTCAGAGCAGATTTGGGAAATCCACGCGTGGTCAGTGTTGGGTGGCTACTTTGCTAAACAAGCATATTTAAAAACATAACAGCCAGGACTCAAACAACACCTCAGGCACCTCCGGCCTTGGGAAGGTCCTGAGATTTCTTATCTGCACCTATAATCACGGCACAAATCTGGCTTTTTTAATGAGAACTTTTCCAATTTCTAGACCTAGCCTTCAACATCTTTTCTCCAATTTTTTAGACATTAGTTTCTTTCAACTTCTGAAAGCAAAGGGCAGTCTGAGCACAATCATGCTGGTGTGGAGCTGCCAGATCAGGTGCGGCATGGCACCCGGGCGTGCGGGCATATAGCCACCATGGGCACCACGCTCCCAGAGCCTTGGGGTCCCAAAGCAGCCCCAGGCTGTGGGCACAGGAGCTGCAGGGGCTGCTGGCTTTTCCCTGTATCCCGTGTGTTCTTTCTCTTATAACATTAGCACATTTCCCTCTGTAACTAGAAAATATTAGCGAGGACATTTCAAAGGACAGAAACAGAACTAGGCAGCGGCTCAGGCAGCGAGGGGCAGGGGGCTGCTTCTGGGCCCTCGGTCGCTCAAGATCCTCCTCCTCTGGGAGCTTCCTTTACACCAAAATTTGCTCCTTACCTTTACTTCACTGGCCCAGTGAATGCAGATTCCACCTTGATGGTACTCAGAGTGCCACCTATTTGGATAAGTTTACCTTACACTAAATTTGATGCAAAAACTGACTATGAGCTTTACTGCCCTCCCAGGAAATCACCTTTCACTATAACTGAAGTTCGGCCGCACCAACCACACTGAATCTAAGGACACGCCCATGCCTAGTGCCGCCCCTGCCAGGGACAGGCTGCTGCCATCCCCACTTGCTCGGGGCTGAACTGATCCTCCAGCTGTTCTACACAGCATCACCCACTGCAGACGCCTAAAGGTGGGTGAAGATGAGGAAGACAGGCAAGAGCCCAGGTACTCCACCCACCAACCATCACATCCACCTCTCAGCCTGGGTTTCCGCGTTCAAAAAATGGAAACAGCACATACCACCCACGCCACTACAGTGGGAAATCACCCATAAATTAGCAACACGTTGAAGCACAGTTCTGGCACACAGCAGATGCCTAATAAAAAGTGGCCAATGCTATAAAGCCTGCATTTATGAGGGACACTCAAACCCCTTAAGGACAGAACAGCTTTGAACCACTTACTTTCAGGGGCACCAGCTGGCTGCCCCAAGCAGGCTGCTTCCCTGATGAGGTGCATCTCCTCCCCCATAAAGGGGCTCACCTACCTGGTGCATGGCCTCTCCTTGGCTTTATAGACCAGGGAGGCTGAGCTCTCAGAACTGAAACCCCCCAAGCAGGGTCAGCACCTGCCCAGAACACACTGTACTCCCTCCCCCAGCTTGGAACACTACTGACAAACACACACATACCCAGCAGGGCAGATGGGGGATGTTTCTGGAACTCTGCTTCGTTACTGCAAAGGACACAGGCTGCAGGGAGACAGTGCAGCCTCATGGCCAGAGCACAGGTCAGAGGCCACGCCGGCTGAGACCAGGAGCAAGTTCCAGGACCTCCCCCCCTCACTTGCCAATGCCTCATCAGGAGCAGGTGTCAGCAGCAATGCGGAAATTAATGCACATGCACAGGAAGCATGGCGTCCAGGGCCTGGTTCCCAAACAAGAGCTACTCTCAGTGCCAGTATGTTAACGGTCAGATGGGACCACACACACTGTGAGCACACAGGTGTTCTGTGCTTCAGGAATATCTTACAATCAAACACTTACAAGGTATATTTTTAATTACCCTTCTGGGCACAGTGGGAAGCCTTTAAGGTGCTGCTGGTGTTGAACTGTGTGGCTTTAAAGAAAAGGAACCCTCACCTATCCTGTGCTGGTGATCAGAGGAAAAACACTTTCTTCTGGAGGGCCTTCCTCCCAAAATGCAACTCAGCATCCCACATCCAGACTGGCAAGGCCCGCCCCCTGCACCGGGGGTGCCACACCGCCTCACCTGTATGCCGGGCGAGCGCTGTGCTGCCGTGGCAGGCTGCACCGTCGTCTGGGCCTGAGACACTTGCTTAATTATGGTCGTTGGGGTCACCTGCCGTGCAATAATAGGGGTCCCAGGGGCCTGAAACATAAGTAAGAGTCATCTAAAAGGAGCAGCAAGTGAACTAACTCCCCACCACACATCTCACTCAAATACCAGCCCTTCAGCCCAGAACTGGTACCATCAAGCGTGTCCGTCTACAGGTTCATTCACAATTTTCAGGGAAGCCACCCTAACTTTTCTTACACAAGTCAAGGCATATGACTCAATCTTCAACATAGTGACACAGTGTCACTAGGCTTCCCTGACAAAGTCCACCAAGCACGGCCTTAAGAGAACGCATGCATCTGGGACCCAGCCCTTGTGTGGAGTTCTTGGGATCTTGCCCACAAGCACTAAAAAAGTGACAAAGCAAGAGGACACACATGTCCCTTCAGTGTAAAGACTGGTCGCAACGCTCCAGAAGAGAAGGTAAAGGAGAAGGGGCCCAGGTGGCCCCTGGCACATCTGGGTTAAGCCCAGACGGAAAGAGGGCTCCGGGCTGAGCAGCAGCAGCCGGCACAGGAGCCGACAGCCGGGGAAAGGCCAGGGGCCGCAGTGCCTCACAGGGCACCTTACCCCACAGGGCGTGCAGACCCTGAACACACCTTTCCGTCTGTTTCACACACTCAGTAAAGGGGCCCTTGCTGAGTCTCCCAGCACACCCATGCCCTCTGTTCACAGCAAGGGCACCACCACCTTCCGAGGGAACGTGGCTGACATCACAGGAGAAAGAGGAGTTTCCAAGATCCTTCTAGTCTCCACTCTAGTTATTGCCCACCCAGCCAGCTCCGAACAGCAGTCCAGCCCTGGGCAGACGCCTCAGAGACGGTAAGACAGATAATGTGCGGCTGTGCCCAAGTGAAGCCACGGTAGGACCAGAAACACCAGAGGCAGCGGGAGGGACACATCCTGGCATTTGGCTTTAGCATCAGAACCCATCCTCCTGCCACAATCTCAAGGCAGGGCGGTAACCACTTAAGGTTTAAGGATTTGTGACAGGGCGGGGAGCCGGCAGGGGCACTATTTCACAAATCCTGATAAAATTCTTATGTGTCTCCCAGGGTATCACAGCTAACGCTCGGGGTTTCCTCTAGTCGCCTGTCCTTAGCTCTCCACATGTCCTCAGTCGGCCTATGAGCCCTAGAGGTACATGCAGGGAGAATCACCCCTGTGCAGAAAAGGGAACTTGAGGCACTGGACGCTGAAGTCACGGGAGAGGAGGGAAGGGGCCAGGACGGGGTCCAGGCAACCGACCCAGAGTTTTCACTGCATGCTCACAGCACGGCAGTCCTTGGCACCACAGCAGGCGGAGGGCACAGCGCCACCCCTCAGCCCTCACAGGCTACTCACCTGCACGGTGGAGATCTGGACAGGAGGGGCACTTGTGGGGGTGGCAGGGCGGGGGGCCATGGTGGTCTGAGGCTGGGTCTGGACGTGGGCCTGGGCCTGCATCTGGGCCAAGGCCTGCTGAGGGATCATCAGCAGCTGCCCATTCTCACTCCGCACAAGGACCATCCCTGGGGGGAGAAGAGAGCTGGCATCAGGCATGCACCCCCCCCCCCGCAGGGAGCCAAGGAGGCGGGACCCCATCAGAGGGGCCTGGGAGCCCTGAGAAGAAAGGAGAGTGTAAACACACAGCGCCACTGACCTCTAAACACACCTGCCGTAAAGATGGTACACAGGGTGAAAACCTGTATGGTTTCTTCATGGAATTCAACTAGAAATTGAGTCTTGTTTTTATAAACAAGCCAAAAGCAAAGCTTCTGCCACACTGTCTGCCCCACAGCTACCCACGCTGGCCCACAGGGAGGGCCATGCACGCACTTTCCAGTTGAGACCCCAAGCCACGTACTCTCCCTGGGCCTGGCCTCATTCACAAGGCGGCAGGTGCCACGGCTAGAGCCTCAGACCCGAGCACTGACCTGGAGCACATCACTCCACCCCTGCCCCAGGTCTTGTCTCTGGGGGTGGGCAGCAGGGCCTCTGCATCCCACCTCTCGTGTCCACATGGGCTGGCAGGGGGGCGTAAGACACAGCACCGTGCAGCCTGCACGCCTGGCTCCGTGAAGCCCAGGCCAAGCCAGCCTCCTGCACATGACTGCCGCCATGCCCCAAGGCCCGGCTTGGGGCGGGGGCAGTGCTACATCCACGGGGACTGGGACACCCACAGCAGAGACATAGAGATGGGACCTTGCACACTTCACAGCGCTTGAGCTGGGTCACTGGAAGGCACTCTTTCATAGGGCTCAGCATTACTTTTAGGCCTCAAAAACCAACAACCAATTAGGTGCCATAGATTCCGTTAGAAACAGCAACACATCTGTCTGCCTTACAACTCACTTCCCCTCCTGGCTGCAGGGGAAGACCCGACACGGGCTCCCCACTCCTAGTCAAGGCCCAGGGACCCAGCGCCTTGGAAAAGCCAAGCGGACAGAGGGGAGGCTGGGGCCGCCCAGAGCCTCCCTGCCCACCGCCCCACAGCCGCTCCCTCGTGCACTGGTGAAGTTCCCCAGAGGGAAAAGGCGGCGCCAGCTCCCTGCCCACCCAAGTCAGGGGCTGCGCGGCCTTCGTCCCAGAGGAGCCTTTGGAGCGGCGGGTCCTCAACACTCACCATGACACCAGCAAATACCAGACCTCTCCCTGGGTTCACAGCCACAATTCTTGATCCAAAAGAACCACATTTATGCCCATTAAGAGAGTGTCCCTCCAAAACATCCCTTTGAAAGTAAACCATACTGAAATTTTTAAAAAAAGACAGTATCAAAAACCTAGCTGGAGCACTCTGCTAAAATCTCCAAGACCCGGGAACTTGTTAACACACTGCAGGGAAAGGCCTAGAAGGTTCCCCACTGAAGCTGAGACTACTGTCCCATCTAACAGGTGCACGAGGCTCAGGAAAGGCTTGGCAGACCAGGAGCCAGCTCTGGTCAGTGGGCCACACGCCTCCAGAGTTGGGTGTGGACTAGCAGGGAGACTGCACAGCCACCCCCAGGCCCACGCAGGTGCTGGGGACCCCAAAAGAAGAACTTGATCAACACTGGGGTCATCCTCTTACCCTGACCCATCCCCTCATCACACGGGCCCGCCCACCCACCCATCCACAACCCCTGCTCCTTCCTCCTGAGAACCCTAGGAAGCCAGTATCAGTGCTGGCTGAAGAGCCCACGATGGCCAGGCAACAAGGTCCTAGGGCTCAACACCCAAGTCCATTCTTTTGTTAATATGGCAGCTGACAAACATACCTCAATTATCAGATGCTTCTTTACTTAAAAACTTGTATCTACAGAAATTTAAAGGAATATTTAAATATTAAATATTCACACAACAGCAATACGTTTAATATAGTGATGAAGAAAAGTGGTATTTTGGACACTGTCCACTGGGCAATGTGCCCAAGGTCGGAACAGAAGTTGCAGAAGGAAGCAAAGCCCTGCCAGGAAGTGACCACGTGGCCTACGCAGGTGACCAAACCTCTTTGAGGCACTAAAGTGTCTTATACAACGGATAAGCGAGGCGCAGCAGGCGCCTGGGTCTGAAGGCCGCACGTGGCTTGAAAACCGACTGCTCAGCCACAGAGCCCTACACGCTGACGGGGCAGCCGCAGCAGCACCCCGCAGGCACGCGGGGCGGGAGGTGCTGGGACCCCTGCCTGTCAGTTTCCCGGGTTACAGGGACTACGTCACCAACGAGAGTGAGACACACGTGAGGGCCCAGGAGGAATCGAGCCACACACCACATTTCCACAGTTACTGCAGCTCTGGATCTCATGAACTCTGGTCGGACAGAAAAATGGCTGTGCAGTACCTGTTCATGCCAAGAAACACAACTCTGTCTCAAAATGTAACTCAAATTTATTTTAGATGACAGGTCCTGAGAAGTACCCCTGCATCCACAGGCAGCATCCGGTCTGCGGACACGTCCGCTCCCTCCCTCGCTACTGCTCACCATCCCTCCTGTGCTCACAGGGCTCAGGGCGGGGCCCCCCAGGCACTGCCCCCTCGCCACCCAACAGCGGGGACCGAGAGGCTATCGCGCCAGAAGCAGCCACCTGGTGCACCTCAGCAACGTGCCTGGGACGGACCCGTGGCAGGCTGGTTTCAGTGCTGACTGAAGGAGGGCTGCACACAGTGAGTCATCCTCACCTGACGCTTAAATCAGGGAGGCGATGTCAGAGTTGACTCAATAAGGACACTTCCATTTCAAAAACCCCTTCAGACTCATTGTCCAGCCAAAAAGGTCAACTCCCACAGGCACTAAGCAGTAAGTTCAAAGGCACAGACTGGGCCTCCATGCCTCCTGATCGAGCCACCCAAGCCTGCCGCCCCTACAGCCTGCAACTGGCACCAGCACCCCAGCACTTCTCTAAGGCGATGAACCCCATCCTGCCCCAAGCAAGAGTCCAAGACAGACTCAAATATTCTCACCCAGTGTCAGTTTTCTTGGTCCCTTTTATGTCAACATTTTTTACTGTATTTTCAACCAAAATGTAGGTCAGCCAAAGCTGCACTACAAACTGAACAGGCATTTCTGGACTCGCCTGGGAACCTCCCCCCAACAGACACTGCTTTGGGAGCCCTGGCCAGCGGCAGCCCCCCACACACGCCTCCCTGGCCGCTCAGCTCAGAGGCCCCGCCTGCGCCTGGGGATGACAGCGGGGAATGGCAGCTCGGGTCACAGGGACCAGACCTCTGCCCTCACCTCCTTGAGGGTCCCCAGGGCTGCCACCCATCAGACCGTGTTGCAAGTCCACAAAGACAGTGGCACAAAAGGCAAAGCCCTCAACAATTAAACATGTGCAAAACCCCGATGTGGACGCTAAGAAGCCAGATTCAGGGTAGGAGCAGAGACACAGGCAGACGCACAGTCCGAGGCACAGCTGGGGACTTCATTTCTGAGCACCATATACTGCACATTGTTTCCTAACTGCACGAAGAGCTTGGCAGGCTTCAAGGAGGACTGCCCCCGGTGCACAGGCAGGGACCTGTTGCCCACCCCAAGCCGCAGCTGTGAAAGGAGGGACAGCCTGGACGGAGGCGCATGCCCGAGATCCGAGATCCACAGGAATGGCCACAGCAGCCCCCCTGCACACCAAGGCTCCCCTCCAGCAGTTTCCCACCGGAGGGGGCCCCCCAGCTACTCCAAAGGCGACAGACTCTGCAAGATGCCAAGGTGCACGTGCACACTGATAAAGCCGACTTCAACTACGGCTTAAGTGTTCCTTTTATGACTCTGTCTTTAAAGTTGCCAAAAAAACAAAATACAAAAAAGTACTTAAACGTGCAGAGCTGGGACCCCAGAAAAGCTGGGGGGGCAGGGTCAATCGAGGGAGGGCTCTGGGCACCACACTTAACCTCACAAGATCTGAGCACAGAGGGGACAGTGCACACCCGAAGCAAGTGTGCCCCCACTGGGGTGCTGCCCATATGGACTTGCGCACGACTCACAGGTGGGCCCCAGCCCGACTGGCCCTACAGATGCCCTCCTTTCAGAGAAGTTGGTCCGGGTCACAGCCTGCTTTGGGAACACTCCTCTCGACTCCTGACCAGGAACCATACAATTCTGTCGTTTCTGGAAAGTTCTCCCTCCTGACCCCTTCAGTGCCATCAGTGGTGGAAATGCTGTCGCCCTAGCTCTGGGAGCATGGACATGACTGCACTTCTGAAATGCAGTGCAAATGAAGCTTCCCACCCAATTCAGGGCCCTGCATGTGCAGCACCCAGCACCGAGAACTTTCACTCACCCTAGCACCTGGAGAACTGCAGCGTGCGCTGAGACCCGGAGCACATGAGTGAGTGAAGAGGTCTCACATCTCAGCGGACGGATGGGAGCTCAGTACCATCAAGATGTTGACCCCCCCACACTGAAGTCCAGATGTAATGCGATCCACCAAAATCCCAGAGGCGTTTTGTGCAGAGATGGACAAGCTGATTCTAAAATTTGCAAAGGTCCTAGAGAAACTATGAAGGACAACAAAGCTGGGGGACTGGCACTGCCCATCCCCAAACACACTAGGAAGTGGCCACCAGGCAGTGCATCCCCGGCATACAGCAGCACACCAATCCACGGGACAGAGCAGAGCCCGGAAACAAACCTGTGTGCCCCCGGGCTACTGATCCGGGGCACAGGCGGTTCAGCAGACAAAGGAAGACTGAGCAACGCACAGGGACGGGCGGCAGCCACCCTGACTTGGATCCACGCCGCACGCTGTGCGCACTGTCAGCTCAAACCGGGTCCTGGGTCTGAAACCCTGAAACTCCCAGAAGAAACCGCAGGAAAAAAATCTTTGTGACCGTGGGTTGGGCAAAAATATTCTAATTATAACGGAAACACAATCATAAAATAACAAACTGACAAACAGAACTTCATCAAAATTAAAAACTTCTGCTCTTCAAAAACACTAAAAGAATGAAAAAACAAGCCACAGGATGAGATAAGGTCTCTGTAGGCTGTGTCTACTAAAGAGCTTGCATCAGAACACACACAGAATTCCCAAAACTCAGTAACAAGAAAATAACCTAAAACAAAAAAAAATGGGCAACAGATATGAACTGACACTTCACCAGACACACAGATGGCAACTAA